AAGGAAGGAAGGAAGGAAGGAAGGAAGGAAAAGGGAGGCAGAGAGGGAGGGAGGGAGGGAGGAAGAGCGGAAGGGAAAAGGAGGGAGGGAGGCAGAGAGGAAGAGAGGAAAGAGAAGAGAGGAGGGAGGAAGATAGGAAGGAAGGAAAAGAAAGAAAGCGTAATGGAGGGGGGAAGGGAAGGTGTGAAGGAGGGAACAAGGGAGGGAGGGTCTGTGGAAGGGAAGGAGAGAGGGAGGGAGGAAAAGAAAGAAAGAGAAAGAAAGAAAGAAAGAAAGAAAGAGAAAGAAAGAAAGAAAGAAAGAAAGAGAAAGACAGAAAGAAAGAGAAAGAAAGAAAGTGAAAGAAAGAAAGAAAGAAAGAAAGAAAGAAAGAAAGAAAGAAAGAAAGAAAGAAAGAAAGAGTAATGGAGGGGGACAGGAAGGTGGGAGGGAGGAAGGAGAGAGGAAGGAAGGAAGGGAGAAGAGAAAGGGAGGGAGGAAGAGAGGAAGAAAGAGAGGGAAATGGAGGGAGGGAAGGAGGAAGGAAGGAGGGGAAAAGAGGGAGGAAGAGAGGAAAGAAAGAAGGAAGGAAGAAAAAGAAAGAAAGAGAAAGAAAGAGAAAGAAAGAGAAAGAAAGAGAAAGAAAGAAAGAAAGAAAGAAAGAAAGAGTAATGGAGGGGGAAGGGAAGGTGGGAGGGAGGGAGGGAGGGAAGGAGGGAAGGAGAGAGGAAGGAAGGAAGGGAGAAGAGAAAGGGAGGGAGGAAGAGAGGAAGAAAAGAGAAATGGAGGGAGGGAAGGAAGGAAGGACTTAGTCTTCTTTCGTTTGTCATTTGGTTTTATTTATTTTGTTGTCGTTTGTCAGTGTGTTTATTGTGTGTTTATTTTCTTTCTGTTGGATGTTGTTTCTTTCCTATGCCACCCAGCCACATCTCTAGTGATTCACTTTACAACTGTGGCAAGAAAGGTTGTAAAATGGGGCAAAGCTTCACTTAACATACATATGTCTCAATTAGCAACAGACGTGTGGGGCTCAATTGTGTTCTTAAGCCAAAGACTACCTGTATACAATTTTAAAATAACCCTTTGCCATTGAAAAGTGGCTAAAGCCATTGACCTCCAAACTTTCTTTTTCGGTGGTGGGATGGGATGGAGGGGAAACACAGACTTATTCTTGGAAAGCTCCTGAATTCTTCAAGGCCTGGGAACGTTCATCTAATTTTTCCTAGAGAAAACTAGAGTTCTCACTTTTCCTTTCTTTCTTCTGCCCTCTCGCTCAATCCCACCTTTTCTCAGGTTTTCCTTGCTGCCCTGGCATTTTCATATTTTAGTAAAGCGTATGCTGGGGCCACGATGAAAAGTACCATCACACAACTGGAAAGGCGATTTGGCATTCCATCTTCAACAGCTGGCTTCATCGACGGAAGCTTTGAAATAGGTAGGTGGAACCCAAAACCAGGAACACAATTGGAGAGCTTGAGGTCATAGGTATTACTGTATTTTTCGGAGTATAAGACACACTTTTTTCCTTCCTAAAAGAGAGTGAAAATTTGGGTGCGTCTTATACACCAAATGTAGCCCCACCCAACCACCGGCCCCCATCCTTTGGCCTCTGCCTCCCTGCAATTTGTCTACTTGCAGCAAACAGCAAACAGCCTGTTTCAGTTTCAGCTTCAGCACAGCTGGATTAGCAAAAACAGCTGATTGTTGGTTGGATTGGCCTCCCGACCATCAGCTGTTTCAGGCTGCAGGGTTTGCCATTGCCTATTGCTGCCTCCGAGCAGGCCATTTTCGGCCTCCATATCCCATTTTTGGCCTCTGCTATGCGCCCCATTTTCGGCCTCCGTGTGCCCCATTTTCCGCCCATTTTGATTTTCTGCCCGGAATGGAAAATGGGGAGTGCAAAGGCTGAAAACAGGCTGTGCAGATGTGGAGACCGAATATGGGGCGTACGGGGGCAGCAATAGGCTATGGCAATTCCTGCAGCCTGAAACAGCTGATCATGGGGAGGGAGATCCAACTGATAATCAGCTGCTTGTACTAATCAAACTGTGCTGAAACTGAAATTGAAACAGGCTGTTTGTTGCAAGGAGGCAAATTGCTGGGAGGCAGAGACATATTTTTTCACCCTTGTTTTCTCCTCCCACAAAGCTAGGTGTGTCTTGTATTTTGGAGCGTCTTATACTCCAAAAAATACAGTATATCATTGACCCCTGTTTCTGGATTGGCAGAAAAGGGTTCAAATTCAATTGGTATCCAGAGGCCCAAGGACTGCCTAGGGCTTAATACCTCTGACAGCTGGAATTAAACATTATCCAGCAATTGTCTTGCCCTAATTTATTTATTTGGGGAATAAAGTTAGTGTACTTAGTGTATAAATGTATAAGTTTAGCGTGCTGCCTTGGCACACTTGGAATATTGCATTCCAGATTTGGTAGCCACGATATTTAAAAAAAAGATGTTGAGACTCTAGAAAGAGTGCAGAGAAGAGCAACAAAGATGATTTAGTGGACTGAAAGATAAAAGATATAAAGAATGGTTGCAGGAATTGGGTATGTCTAGTTTAATAAAAGGGACGGGGTGGCTCAGGGGGTCAGACGCTGAGCTTGTAGATCAGAAAGGTCAGCAGTTCAGCAGTTCGAATCCCTAGCGCTGCATAACAGAGTGAGCTCCCATTACTTGTCCCAGCTTCTGCCAACCTAGCAGTTCGAAAGCATGTAAAACTGCAAGTAGAAAAATAGGAACCACCTTTGGTGGGAAGGTAACGGCCTTCCGTGCACCTTTGGCATTTAGTCATGCCGGCCATATGATCACGGAGACGTCTTCAGACAGCGCTGGTTTTTCAGCTTTGAAACAGAGATGAGCAATGCCCCCTAGAGTCGGGAATGACTAGCACATACCTTTACCTTTACCTTTAATTTAATGAAGAGAAAAACTAGGGGTGACCTGATATGTTCCAATATCTCAGAGGCTGCCACAAAGAAGAGGGAGTCAAGCTATTCTGCAAAGCACCTGCAGGCAGGAAAAGAAGCAATGGATGGAAACTAATCAAGGATAGAAGCAACCTAGCACTAAGGAAAAATTTCCTGACAGTTAGAAGAATTAATAAGTGGAACAACTTGCCTCCAGAAGTTGTGAATGCCCCAACACTGGAAGTCTTTAAGAAGAGGTTGGATAGCCATTTGTCTGAAGTGGTGTAGGGTTTCCTGCCTGAGCAGAAGGGGTTGGAGTAGAAGACTTCCAAAGTCTCTTCAAACTCTTTTATTCTGTTATTGTTAGAAAACATGCCTCTTTATTAGCTCAACTGTGAAAACAACATACAGGGTTTGATATGAAGCAAAGATGCTCTCCTACTAATCATAACTCTAGATCAGGGATCTCCAAGCATGGCAGTTTTAAGACTTGTGGACTTCAACTCCCAGAATTCCTCAACCAGCCATTGTGGCTGGGCAATTCTGAGAGCTGAAGTGCACAAGTCTTTAAAGCTGCTACATTTGGAGACCCTCTGCTCTTGATGGAGGCATTCTTGCAATTCTATTGATTACAAAAGTGGTTTTCCACTGTCTTCTTCCAGGATGTTTCACATTCTTGAGCGGTCTCAAATCCAACTACCAACCACAACCAACCCTGCTTAGCTTCTGAGATAGGTCTCTCTCAGTGATGGCTAATTTTTTCCAGACTGAGTGCCCAAAGCATACGGGCACATGAACCCCCAAACTACAATGTGGGTGTGGTCCCTGCACATGCACTCCACCCCGTTGCACATGTGCATGTGCCCCCCCGAATGCATCCAGCCCTGCCACACATGTGCCCCCCTCACACGGACCTGCTTCCTGTGCATGTGCACGCCCCCTGCACATGACATACCCCCACATATGTGCCCTCCTGCCACATTTGCCCTGCCCCTGCATGCCCATGCCCCCTGCATGCACAGCAGAGACATAACCAGCTGGCTGGCAGGAGGTGTGTGCACATGCATGCACAGCGGAGCTGAACTGGGGCAATGGCTCTCGTGCCCACAGGGAGGATGCAGCGTGCCACCTGTGGTTTGCCATCTATCTCTAGAACATTAGCATCTGGTTTTAGGTTCAGAATCAGAGGTGGGTTCTGTTGTGGCCCAGCAGGAGCCGTTGGAGCTGCCACCAGACTCCGACAGCGAGGGGCCCATGAGTCGGCTCTGGAGGATGTGGAGGACCCTGGACAGGGTTCTGACTCCGAGCAGGGCACAGAGAGGTTGTTGGCCACCAGGAGGCGCCTGAGCCTTGGACCAGGGGGGAGGAGACAAGGGAGAGTGATCCAGACGCCAACAGTGAGTTGTTCCTGGATGCCCGGCACCAAAGAGCTAATGGGTGTCAGGAACAATTGCGCAAGTACAGGAGGTAATTGCACTCAGCTGGTGGTCATTAGGCTCCTCTCCAGACTATAAAAGGACTG